TTTGGAATGATGATATTTAAAATCATTTGCAAAATCTTAGAAGGGGTGCTACTGCCTTGGAACTTATGACACTGGCCAACTCAAGTCATGAATATAAAACATTCACGAAACACTATGAGGGGAAAAATGAAAAAAAAAGCGGGCCAAAAAACCCTCCAGGTGCGCAGTATGTCTTGTTACAAATCACTGAAACATATTGTTTGTCAAAGGAATTAGTAGTGAATGGTTTAACCTGAAAATTCATAGTATTTTTTTTAAAGACTAAAACATATTTTGTCAAGGAAATTGATAGTAAATAGGTTTGACTAAAAACATTAAATTTTTTTTATGCTTCACTCCAGCACATTGTTTTTCAAGAACGTTGACAATGAGTTTGTTGACCTTTAAAACATAAACATATATTATATTTTCATGAAATGCTATAAATTATTGTCTTTTTCTTATGCATTGTGTTCTCTTTCTAGATCTCAGGGGTAGTCAACTGCTGGCTCTTCAACCTGCAGTGCAACTGATTTTTATATACTGGCAAGCAAAAGAAAGTGGGCAGTTTTCAAATGGTGCTGTGTGAGTAGTTTAGCGAATTTTAACTTGACGATTGGCATGCTGAGCTTGAGTCACTTCAGAAAGTCGGTCAGAACAACATTTGTTCATTTTGTTGTTATAAAAAGTGTTTTCAATACGTTTGGCCAAAAACGTGTTTTCTCGTTTTTTCTTGAAAGTTTACAATACCTTTACTTTTATTCTTTTTTCGTTACACACTTTAATGTGTGTGCGCGAAAAGGCCATAAAAAATTTTGGGTTTGTACTTTTCAATTTTGTTTTATACCATGCCTCGTCTCAGTGATGCTCAACGTCAAGAAGCTCTTGGAATGCTGAGAGCAATGGGGCGGTTTCTGCTGTCGCTAGAGCTTTCAATGTGACGAGAGATAATACTATCCAAAAACTAAGGATACCCTTCCAAGCAAGTGGTTCTGTTAGTGACACTCCAAGTTCTGGTCGTCGTCGTGTCACTACTGCTGTTGAAGACAATCGGATCAGAGTTCCACTCTTGCGGGATCGGTTTCAAACAGCTTCTAAAACTGCCAGAGATTGGCCTGGGTATAGACCAATCAGCCGCTTCACCGTTCGTCAACGCTTGAAAGCTCACGGAATCGTTGCCCGACATCCACCTCGATGCACTCGTCTCCTCCAAAGACACCGTCATGCCAGACTCAACTTGACACGTTTGCACTGGCGATGGCTAAACGGCCAGTGGAACAGAGTGATGTTTTCTGACAAGTCCAGATTTCTTTTGGATCGCCACGATGGAAGACAGAAAGTCTACCGGAGACGTCATGAACGTTATTTATCTCAGTGTGTCAGTGCTGCTGATGACAAATGTAGTATTATGGTATGGGAATCCATAACCAGTACCGATAAATTCGATCTAGTCATTATCAACGGTAATCTGACTGCCCAGAGATACATCAATGATGTTCTCTATCCACACCTTCTGCAGTTTCTGGCTCGCCACAGGAACAATGTCGTGTTTCAGCAGGACAATGCAGCGACACATTGTGCCTTTGTTACCCAGAGATTCTTACAACAAAAATTACGTACGCGTTGTAACACCGTTGCCAGTATTATCCCCAAATTTAAACGTGATTTAGCACCTCTGGGACACAATGGACAAGGAAATTCGCACCCTTCGGCCACCCCCAACGACAATCCCACAACTGCAGCAATCATTAATTAATGCTTGGAATAATATTCCCCAGCAATTTATCCGACGACTTGTGCAATCCATAAAGCAGAGATGCACTTTAGTCATCAATGGTGGTGGGAGTTACACCCGCTACTAATTCTGGGATTTTGGACATTTGAATAGGTGTTATTAATTTCTAATAAAAGGTGTGCTTTAGGTCGTTTTCTTAGTTTTTTTGTCAGCATTTATTGAAAAAATGGCAAACCTTTCAAAATTCATTGGCAATACGGCATTACTAAGGTAAAGAACGGAAATAATGCACAGAACGGAGGGTGCCCACTTTCTTTTGCTCGTCAGTATATATGGTTTTATAGTTGTTGGCCTTCTGTTTTATCATATTTAGATTGGAAGCTTTCATTGTGAGTTTGTGTCATCTTTAGATTTTACAGAAATGATGCAAGCTTCCAGTCCGTGCCGTATCGTGGGTCTCAGCAGTCAAGGGCAGACAACAGAAGTCATGGAGAGGGACTGTAGTGGGGAGATAATCCTGGACAGGACTTGTTTCTATGCAGAGGCTGGTGGGCAGGCTTCTGACAGTGGATTCTTGGAGTCTGAGGTGATTAGGGGGTAGTGTGCATGTGTTTGTGTGCGTATACGTATGTGTGTGTGTGTGTGTGTATGTACCCGTGTGTGTCTGTTGGGGGGGAAGGGGGGGTGGGGGGACATCGGACAATAAAGTTTGGAGTTTTGGAGTTTGAGGTGTGAGCAGTAGTGTGTATGGATGTGTATGCACAGACACTCAAGCTTTCACACATGTGCGTGTTCAGTCAAACATGGGTAACTCAAACATGTTAGGGATGGACAAAATCGCGACCTCAGTGCTTTCTTGTCCTATCTCCATTTTTTAAAATACTGAAAATGTGAATTCTTCCTAATACTCATTCTTTGTTAGGAACTGTTTTTTTCTTCTCCTTCTTCTTCTTCTATCCCGTGGTTGGGGCAACCGTTGGGGCACCATTGCATTTGAAAACCAGCTCTCGCCATCTATTTTTGTCCTCTGCTCTCCTCAGTTTGTCACCCATTGTCTTTCCTGTCCACTCTGTAATGTTGTCCTCCCATCTCCTTCTCTGCCTCTTTCTCTTTCCTTGTATGGTTCCTTGCAGGATTGTTTTGGTAAGTCCTGTGGATCTTGTGACATGCCCATACCATTTTAGTTTTCGTCTCTTCACTGTGGTCAGTAGATTTTCATATTGCCCCACTGCATTGGTGATTCTCTTTCATACTTCAGCATTTGAAACGTGGTCTTTGTACGAGATGTCAAGGAGTTTGCGGTAACATCTCATCTCTGTGGTCTGAATCTTTTTCTCTAAATCTGCTGTTAGTGTCCACGACTCACAGGCGTGTAAAAATATTGAGATGACCAGTGAGCGCATTAGTCTAATTTTTTAGCTGTGTGTGATGTTTCTGTCCCTCCAAATAGGCTTCAGTTTTGACAGCGCAGCTGTTGTTTGCGCAACTCTGGAGAGAATTTCTGGTCTTGAGCCTTCATCTGAGACGATAGATCCGAGGTATTTGAAGCTGTTGACGGTCTCAAGTTTCTCGCCCCTGACTTTGATGTCTGCGTTGTCATTAGCTTGGTTTTCTCGGCACTGATCTCCATGCCGTAGGCTGCTGAGGTTGTGTCCAGCCGCTCCACTAATGTGGCGAGCTCCTGTTCTTCTCCTGCTGATCCATCGATGTCATCGGCAAAACGCAAGTTAGTGATTGTCCTGCCTCCAATACTGATTGTTCCATTGTGGTCTTCCAGAGTGTCAGTCATGATTCGTTCTAGGAAGATGTTGAAGAGAGTGGAAGAGAGTAAACAGCCTTACCTCACCCCGACCATTGTCCTAAACCAATCCCCCATGCTGCCGTTAAGGTAGACTGCGCTGGAGGCCTTGTCGTATAGTCGTTGTATGACGTTGATCAGGTTGGCGTTGATGTTATATTTCCTCATGGTTGCCCATAAGGCTGCATGCCAGACCCTGTCGAAGGCCTTTTTAAAATCCACGAAGATATGGTATAGGTTTTGTTGGTGTTGGAGGTACCTCTCGCACAGTATCCTGAGGTTGAAGATCTGTTCTGTTGTGCTGCACCCTGCTCTAAAGCCTGCCTGCTCTTCGGCAATGATCTTCTCTGCCTGTGGTTTAAATCTGTTCAGCATTATCTTCAACATAACCTTACTGGGGTAGCTTATTAGACTGATGGTGCGGTAATTCTGACATAGTTGCAGGTTACCTTTCTTGGGGTTGTCATTTCATGTGGTGAGTCTTGGGCAGAGAAGCTTGGCGGTGCCCATCCCTCTCCAAGCTCTTAACCGTAGGCCGATGTCCATGAACATGATGCGGGTCGCCCCCGATTGCATACACTTGACCGTTGAGCTCAGCTTGGAACCCTTCCGCTCTGACCGCTGGATCCGTCATGGGACCCTTCCGCTCATGGCCGTTTGATGCTGCTCATCCGCCCAGTGGTGTAGTGTAAACACCACCCCCTCACTTGGTTTAGTCCGCCAGCTGAAGTGGTGTACCGGGGTATGGCGCTGTGGAGCCACATGTGAGAGATTTAGAGGATGTGCGAGGACCAGTGATGCCCGTCCGCCCTACCAGGTAGGGTGCAGCATTCCAAACATCAAAGGTACTACCTCACACAGAGCCCCCTATACCCCTATACTGTTTTCACTATCATTAATAATGGAGGTAGGACAAGAAAGCATTGAAGTCGCGAAATGTTTTCAACAGATTCATGATTTGGATAAACCATAGCTAAAAATTTAAGAGATATCGGTAGGGAAATGGAAAATTGTTCAAGCTATCTGGGATTTCATGTTTTTTTTTTTGTCCCTGTTATCTTAAAAAGGTTTTATTCTGATCTTTCCCTCCTCATTGCAGACAGGCCAGTTCTCTGTGACAGAAGTACAGAATAGACAAGGGCTTGTTGTTCACTACGGTCACGTCTCACAGGGATATCTACAGAACGGTCAGTCAGTCACTCCAAGCATTGCGCCGGTGGGTACATCTGAGCTCTGAGGCTCAGTGTGTAGCTTTTTTACCAGTTTATAATACTCTATAGTGAGGCAGGGTGGTGAAATCAGGCGCTTATCAAAATGATGACTGTAAAGAAACTGGCATTTTTCCACTGGACTTGCCATCTAGTTCTATATCGAAATTTTGCTTTTTAGCTCAACAGTTAGTCCATTTAAGAACCCATTTCTGTGTGGATTTTACTGAAATATAATATGTTGATTAAAGGCACAAAAAATGTAAATTGTCAGTTTCCACGGACTCTCAGGCTATGTAAGTAACCAAAAATTGACAAGCCGCTTGATTCCACCACTTCGTGACACATTGGGTTGTTGTTGTAGATGTTGTTGTTTTTGTTGTAGCAGTGATTTATGCAGGTACAGGGGGGGAGGGGGCATCTTTGATATTTCGTGTTTCTTTTCTTCCCCACCATTGTATTCGTCTATCCGTCTTGATTTTTCCCTGCGCCGAATGAGTGTCATCTTGTTGGTGTACTTCTCTTTACTTAAAATTCAAAATGTTTTTGTTGATATTTCTACTATTGTTGTTATTGTTGTAGTTGTTATTGCTGTTGTTGATCTGGCTGCTTCATCCCGATACGTGTTGTAGAGAGAGGACAGGATTCTGTACAAGTTGTTCACTTTTGTAAGATTTCTAAGATCCCGTAGCCGTAGGTTTCATGATATTGGCCTTTATGTTTCAGCTGAAAAGAGAAGGCTGCATGAGGAACCACACAGCCACACACCTCCTCAACACAGCCTTGACCTCTGTGTCCCCCTCCAGCCAACAACAGGGCTCGAACGTCAGTCCGTACAAGTTCTCCTTTGATTTCCTCTCACTGGTGAGAAAGACCTTGTCTCAATTAGAAATGAATATGGTGGAACTTGATTTTATGGCTGAGTGTATAAGACAATCACATGAACAAATAGCCACTTCATATACCTTCCCTTGCGTATTAACATTTTTTTGTTACATTTTGATGGCCCTGTGTAAGATGGTCACCTGTCTAAGACGTTCGTGGGTGGTTGGTGGGTGCTCTGATGTGGTTTGCTCGCTTTTTCCTTTCAAATGTCTGTGGTCCTCATCTCCCCTCCTTCTTTTTTTGTGTTTGTTACTCTCTTATAACACCTTCAATCTTCGGCACTTATATGATCTTATTGTGTTGCAAGTGCCGCCAAAGTCTTACTAAAACTAAAATAAATTTGTGTCTGTCTTACAGTTTCGACTGTAGTGTCAAGTAGTGGACTTTTACCACTGTTGTTCCGTGCTGATTTTTATCATGTAGAGGAAAAAAAATTACTTACGAAAAAATCTTATGAGTTGCTGCATATGTGCTTCAATTTTTGTCTTTCCATAACTCTTTATCTCCGAGGGGGGTAAACTGGGGCCCGTTTTTGGTGCTAAATCTAAAAATGACAAAATTGTCTCTAAATTGGTCATTAAATCAAAGCATGTGAACCTATTTTGATAGTTCTTCATCTAATGAATGAAATCCTAATAAAAGAGACCTGTTTTCAGGAACTGACGAAAAGTAATTTGATGTCAAAGCCGTTGTAAAGAATGTGCACAAGCCGCTGTCAGTGGGTCACTGGCACAGTAGTTCTGACTGTGAGCCGCTGGCAGCGGCTTGCCGGAGACAAAGAGTTAAAAGAAACTCTTCATTCAACAATTTCATAGAAATAAAAGGTGTCGTTTTGGCCATGAAGGAGCATGAGGAAAAAGTCAAGTGAACAAATGAAGAATAACTGAATACTACTGTATCCAAAGCAAGCAATATTTTAAGAGTGTCTTTAGTTTTTAATTTTTCAGCTGAAAATGTATTGCTGTTTTTATGAATTGTTGTTTATTGTCACCTGAACGTTAGGGAGCGTTTGGATCGGAGCAAGTGAGTCAGGTGGAGGAGTCTGTGAGGGAAATGATCCAGAAGTCTTGTTCAGTCTCCCGTCATGTCATGTCACTACAGGAGGCAGCCAGCCTCCCAAATGTCACCATGTTGCAGAATGAGGTGAGGTTTGGTGTTGGTCGGTGTGTGATGAAGTAGGAGGTGTGAGGTTTATTCTGGTGTTGAGAAGTCTGTATTGTGATGGCTAAAAAAACATTTAAGTAAACACTCTGAGCCTCATTCTCTTGAGTCTACAGGACCTGTATACCTGAGCACATGTGTGTCGACTGCTAGATGTGTACCTCTGTAATAATAATAATAATAATAATAATAATAACTATGAATATTTCATTTATGTAGCGCATATCCACACTCCACAGCATACTCTATGCGCTTACAATTATTTTTACCCCAGCACATCCTAGAACACTTAGAAACATTTTCGGCTTCCCTGGAAGCATACAGTACACTGAGTAGTGTGTTGAGTACACGGAAGGGTAAAGGCAGTCATGTATGTTGAACCATTGTGTAAGACCAATATACAAACGATGAAGACAGATTTGACTGTACGCCATCACTATACGGGGGGATCTTTTTTTTACTTAATATTCAAAATCCATAGAAATTGCTCCAAAGTGTTTTTCTTTTTTTTTGACAACATTCTGTAATTTCCTTTTGTTTTTTTCTTCAATTCTTTCTGCGTCTTTTGCAAGCTCAGACAGTGACTAATGTTGGAGACTGGCTTCCTTGGTGTAATGGTTAGGCTGTTGGCTGTTGCTTGCAGAAGATGCCAGTTCAGTTCCCACGTGGAGGAATTATTTTATACTCTCTCAATATATTTTAAACCCAGAAATCTGTCTGGATGGTTGTGTAAATTCTTATTTCCCTAACGATAGTTGTCTGTTTTCTTGCTTACAGGAATATCCAGAACAAGTGTCTGTCATCCGCATACAGTCTCCGGATGGCAGTGAGGTCTTTTCTTCAGAATTGTGTGGAGGAACGTAAGTTTTTTTTTTTTCTCCGAGTCCAAGGTGAGAGATACAGGCAGGATTTTTATTGCTACATATTCAGGTCTCTTGTGATACTGTTACCTTTTTTCTAAATGCTGCTATGCCCAAGTTTCCCCTGTTTACTTGAATTTTCCCCATTGTCAGCGAGCTGTTCAATAATCTTTATAAACTCAGAAAGTGAAGTTTTTTTAGAAAAGAGAAAAAAACCTGTTCTTTCGTTTAACAACTGTACCAACATTATGTATCTTTTCTTGCTTTTTTTTCCCCGTCAATATTTAGAATCTGAATTTCAACAAAACATTTCTCAGGCTCATGCAACAAAGTGGGTTGTTGGCAGATGCTCTGGAGTTGTGGTTCTTTCCTTCTTTCATATAAAAGAAAATCTGTCGTCTTTATCGCTCCCCCACCTATTTTTGTGTTTGTTGCTCTTTAGTAATACATCTAACCTTCGGCACTTATATGAACTAAATGTGTTGCAAGTATTGTAAAACACATCCTAAAACAACCAAACATGCAATAAATACCACACATTAAGAAACAAAAGTAAATAAAACCATTTTTCAAAATTTTGGGCTCAGTACATCTGAATGGCCAACGCCATGTTTCTTTCTAGCCTGATTGATACTATTTGTGTCTGTGAGACGATTGTTCAATGAAGAGTTATACTTGAAGTATCTAAAGTGACAGTGAGGACATAGTGTCTTTTATTTTTATCTGCCATCTGTCAAAGTCATGAGAAAATTTGGTCATGGTGATAGGCAAACAACATATCTCAGGGGTAGGCATTTTACAGACAAGGTCATTTGTAAAGTTTTTGTCATAGTATGTAAAGTGAACATCGACACATTAAACAGTCATTCAGTGGTGGGAAAGAGCAAGAAAAACAGAGAGAGACAATAAGGGGTAAAGAAAAGAGGTAGGACGGACAAGTGATGCTCTCTAGACACCTGCATGTCATCTTTGTCAGAGGAGTGAACCAGATTGTTTTGAACCATCTTTCCCTCTCCATTGTCCCCAGTTATAGGTGGCTGATGGGTGCTCTGGTGTGGTTTGCTCCTTTCTTATCAAACATCTATCGTCTTGATCTATCTTCCATCTTTTCTTTGTTGTCTAAATCAGCACCTAGACATGGATGACTGGTGCCTCTATTGAATAAATCACTCATGTTCTGGCCTTTTCTTTGTTAGTTACTCTCTGTAATACCTCTTATCTTCAAGCTATTATTATGACCTTAATGAGTTGCAAGTGCCATAAAACCGTTACCTAAAACTAAACTACACTAAACTGTCCCCAGACATGTGACAGACACTGTTGACCTCCAGGAGTTCTGTATCCTCCAGTCTGGCACCAAAGCCCAGAACGTGAAGCGAATTACGGCAGTCACAGGGTCACCCGCACGCCAGGTAGGGCTGCAGTGTAGCATGTCTGTTACAGAGAAAAACATCATACATTGGAGTCGGCTTATTGCAAAACCGGTGGAACCACTGAGTTTCCTTCAGTTTAGCCACGTTTTCCATTTAGAAAGGTTGTTCAGATAGAAAAAAAAAATACTCAGGAATTGTATTTTCTTTTGGTTTACCACTGTTTGGTTTAAACAAAGAGTCTACATAACAAGAGGGGCCACTTCTCTCTTTGAGCCGATTAAAAAAGTGTCCTCAAAATTCGGTGGCGCCCTCTTCACAAATGCGCATCCTTTGCGAACAGATTTACCCTACTTGAGTTTAAAAAATCAAAGTGAAACTAGCAAGTTTTTGAATAAATTTCGGAAAAACGCTTTTAAAAAAATGGTTACACTGACAAAAACCTCTTCCGGAGGAAAGGGTGATTGTTTTCTTCGTTTAATTTGACTTTAGAATGAAAGGTGAGAGGTCGTTAAAATAAACAAAATCTAAAACTCCGCACTGAACGAACTCGAACTGCTGATGAACAGCTGTCGATCTGCGCACGCAAGGAGGTGCTATTCCTACTCTTCTTCTGGAAAAACAAAAGAGAGCTTCAAAACAGACTGCAGCGCCATCTGAAGCAAAGAGCGAACTTCCTGCGGACACTTTTTTGGCTGAATGGCCCATCTTGTCTTCTACTATCTTTGGTTTAAACAGACTCCAGTGTTTACTTGCTACATTCATATTTAGACTTTTGATCAGGAGTGTCATCATGCCCTATTTTCTTTTCTTTCAAAGTCATCAATTGTCTCTAGGTTGCCAGAAAACACTGCTATGAACTTTTCTCATTTATTGTAAATAACAAAGACTCTCCAGAACCTCGTTTCTTTTCCAAAAACATTTTTGCAGAAATGCTAATCTTGCTTTGTTGGCCATATATACTCCATCATATCTGTCTGAGCTTTTAACACTGTATGTTCCATCTCATCAGTTATACTATCATTTGTGCGTGGTTGGTGGGTGCTCTGGTGTGGTTTGCTTCTTCTATCCTATCAAACATCTATCTCCTTATTATGTCTCCTTCTTTTTTGTGTTTGTTACTCTCTTGTAACACCTCTAATCCTCAGCACTTATATATGACCTTATTGTGTTGTAAGTGCCATAGAACTTTTACTAAAAGTGAATACTATCGTTTACAATCATTAACAAAGTTTTAATAAAAAACTTAGTTTTCAATGAAACATATTGCTAGCCGCATTATTCATCTGCCTTAGTCAAAGTGGCAGAATTTTTAAAAAATCACTTTTTGATCCCTTTGGAAAGTACAATTTTTCATTCAGCTTATGTTAAAATCTCAAGTTTAAAAGATTATTGAGAAATGTTTTAATCCTTTAGTAAATCAATCACCCATGTCCACCAGTCCGAAAATTACTACGTGATTCAACAATCTTAGCGCCAGCTTTGCAGCCCATAGCGAATAGGCGGTTGAATCACGCAGATTCAAAGGCTTGTGGAGTGTTCACCTGTTGTGTAGGTGGACTGACCCATATGACTGGCCTTGTGTCAAGGTGTACTGGAGGGTAACAACAGATGAAAGTTTCACATTTTTTGACATTGATTCAGATCAACACCTACCCATGACCAGAAATTTTCATCTAAACAATTTGCGTAATCAATTCGCACCTGGGTTAGGTAGCGATTTTGAGAGACGGCATCAAAGAAAATTTTAATGCTGACTTGATCAAGCCGATAAATTGTTGCAAAAGGTGTTGACCAATGAATTTAAAACTGTCTATGATTGGCAGCCAGCTAAAAATTGTGCGATTTTGCGTTGAGTACACCTGTTGGTAAATATTACTTTGGGATTTCGGCCTAGATCTCTCTAAATTGAGACGTTACACGAAACCTGTTACTTCTGATTCAGAACCTCAGTACAATGCCAACGAGGTACATATTTCTTCCCAGCGTCCATCAACTACTCCTGCAGAAATTGCAACCGGCAACACAGGTGCACCTACTGCTGTTGCTATTCCTGAACTCCAAGAAACAGTACCTGCTGCTTTTGTTGAAAATGTCACAGCAGATAAAGAAACAGTCCACAATACCCCAAAGTGCAAAAGATTAGACCCACAAGAGTGAAAACCAAATAAAAAGAAAGAACTCTGCAACAAGGGTCAACCCTAGGTTTCCCAAAAGGAAAAAAGATCCCAGCTCACGAAATCATAGAGCCCTGGTCATGTTAACCTATTTCTACAAAATTTTGTCGTGGATTCACACACGACGATAGAGAAACTATGTTTGAATACGTATGGAGCCTAACAGACACAACTAAAACGGCACTCATCAAAGGAATTATTTATCAAGTTCCATTGAAACGAAGAAGGGGATTATCAGATTCCCCAAGTTGGCTTCAGGCTCTACAGTTTCCTTTGAAATGAATCTCTGGTGACCTTCTTCTTATAAGCAAAACAATTTAAAAAAAAAATACAACTGCCCACCCGCAGTGGTTTATTCATAGCTGTTGCAAAGACAGCTCACCTGACTCGGACATGAGAACTCCACAGTTGTCATGTTACCAGAGAGCAGAAGACGACAAACAATATATTTTTTGTGACCGAATTCTTTGATAAACTTAACACAATGCCTTCCCATTACTGCAGACAGAATACAGGGAAACTCTATCTTTAGTCACACTTTTATCATTTACTTCTGTTCATTACTCAAACACCCAAGCCACCACTGGTGCTTGTCAAATGGTGTTGATTAACGTGATTCAAACTCCCAGACGTTGTACTATCACTTATGCGGTTGAATCATGCAGATTTAGGTTGGCCTCAAATGCCTAAGTGCAGTAACTTATGTAACACAGCGTTTAGAAATAAAAACTAGTTACATACCATCGTTCTACATCATATTAAATTATGTCTGAATTTCAGATTCACAGGTATGTACATTAAAAAAAAAAAAAGTTTTTTCCCGTTCTACTGTACTTTTCTTTATTTTTACTTTTCCGATCCAGCGGCCATTTCAATTCTAGCCCTTCAGCCTGTCGATGTGGCAAAGAATTTACATGTTTTTGTTAGCTGTGTTTTGTCGCTGTATAGAGTATTTCCGATGTCTGGGGAGGCAGGTAGGTAGGTACTACGCAGGTCGAAAAGTGCGGGGCAGGTAAAGAGGTGGTGTGGTACTGTTTCATCCTGGCAGTCAAATAACGGGCAGTCGGACGGGGTATCCGTGCGAATCCTATTTAGGTAGGAATTCAGTGGGATATTTTGTGTTCGCAGGCGAAAGATCGTTACTTGTTCACTTCTACTCTCTCTTTGTTCTCTTGTTAAATTTGTCTCCTGGCGCTCAGGCGTCTGACTAACACGGCTAGCAATATGTATCTTTGATGTCCCTCAAACCCATCTTCTTCAGCTATTGTCCTATCTGGCATGTTCCAGGCCCACCTGACAGGCCAGGGGTTGGCGTCATTGTGTCAGCTGTTGCAACTTTTGGTGGACAACGATGAACAAGCTGCTGGTCAGTTGACAGAAACTTCCATGAAGATACAAGAGGTGGGACCTTGTACTTGGATACAATAATACAAAAAAAAAGGAAATCTCTGTTTATTTTTTCATTTTATTTGTTTTGTTTAGAATTGCAATACTTTATGTTTAAGATTTCGATCCATAAAAAAACAAATGTGAGACAGCATGGTGAAATCAGACGCTCCTCAAAATAATAAAATAATCTTCCACGGATTTGCAATTTCTTATCGAATTTATGTTTTTTTGGCTCAACACCTTCTATGTCCATTAAAGAACACATTTCTGCTTGGATTTTATTGATAAACATTGATTAAAGGCTCAAAAAATGTAAATTTTCAGTTTCCATGAACTCTCAAGCCGAGGAAATAGCTAAACTTTGGCTGGCATTTCCTTACAAATTTTTACCTCTGAAACAAGGTGACCCCCCACCTGGTTCAATTGCCATTATCTCGACTCGTATCCAAGATACATGGATATCTTTTTCACCAAAAGCAATACAAATGAACAAGCTTTAAGATGATTCCAATAACTTCACATGCTCAAAAATTGACAAGTGCCTCATTCCATCACGTCCCGACACAAATCATCTTGAGTGCCATGACAATTGTTTTGAGAAAATCGCCATTAAAACTATTATCAAGCTTTCTAATTTTTCTTGTGTGTCTGTGCCTGAGGTATTGTTAAACTCTTTCCTGGCGTGATTATTTTGTCACTTAAATATAACATGTAGACTGGTGGTGCAATGTGCGGTGAGTAGCATGGAAAGAGAGGGTTTTTTTTTTCCTTATGTAGGTGTGTTTTTACAACCCCATCGACACCTTTTAGATCATTTAGGAGGCTGGCTTCAACCCTACCCGTTAGGGCCAATCCAGGCTGAGAGGAATACAACATCCTAGTTGAAAGATCGGAATACTTAGTGAGAATTTTCCCCGCACTGTAGGAAATGAACTCTGATCTTTTGCATATGATGGTGAAAGGCTTAAACTGCTAGGCTACACCACAGACTCCAGTGTGGCACGAGTTGAAATTATCAGTGTCGGTGCAGTATGTAATCCAATCTTACTATTGTTATGTTTATTTTTGGAAATTTTGGCACCTGAAACAATTTTGCTTTCAAGAGCAGGCTCTTCCTGTAGGTAGTCACACCACGCACACATAGGGAAAAGCTGGAGCTGAATTTTATTGAAGTGGAGACTCAACTGAGGATGTAATGTCTGAAGGGGAAAGATTCCCTCTTGTGGGTGGTTGGAGGGTGCCTCTGCAGGTCTTCTTTTATTTTTGGTTAAAGGAAACTGGGTCTCCCATTTCGAATTGATTGACTTTGGGAAGACTTGGGGAACTAAAGTTTACTTTCACTTCTGTAGTCTGTCTGTCTGTCTGTCTGTCTGTCTGTCTGTCTGTCTGTCTGCCTGCCTGCCTGCCTGTCTGTCTGTCTGTCTGACTTACTAATTCCCAACTTAAATCAACATCATTGTGTTGATGTGTTCTCCTTACTCAGATTCAAACCAAAGGGGCTCTTGTGGCCTAGAGGTTAAGGTGTTCGCCTCTCTTTCAATAGGTGGTGGGTTCGAATCCGGATAGCGATGGAAAATTTTGTTCTATAAAATTTTGTTCTTTCACATCGTTTTCTGCTCTTTAGCAATGTCTGCGTTCGTCTTTACTTTCTGCGTCCACCCCCTCACTTCTTTTGCCCCCTTCTCTGGGCTCCTGACTCTTTCTGCAGCCTTTCTACTGCTACTCCTTGGCTCCTCCTTACTCAAGTTACTGCTGTCTTTCAGCCACACCCCTGATCTTCTGGTAAGAATGATCTACACATAGCCTTCTCGGACAAGAGCGAACAATCTCAGAGGTCCTGTGTGCAAGTTGCGAGCGTTAAAGATCCCTTGGTGGTCCTAAATCGATAAGAGTAGGCGGTGTCATCATATGACATTACCCAGTTGCGAGTGCCCCCCCGAAAAAACTCCCCAACTCAAACCTGTGATGTTTTTAACTTTTAAACTTACTTTGATTTGAGGTATGAAAATGGGAGTGGGTTGTTATTTCGTTAAATACTGGGTCGTTACTTCAAACTGCAGTCTTGTGGGTTGTCACTCAAAGTAGTCATAGAGAGAAGATGTAGTTGTGTTCTGTAGGTGAAAAATTCCCTGAACCCCTTCTCCCCCCTTTTTTCCTCTTTGTATCCCCTCAGGTGCTGGTCAGTGTGAGTAAGTGGAGACAGGAACTGGAGAGTCTCTTACAGCTTGACCACTCTGACCGCTCAGGTGCCAGGGACATGTGGACACAGACACTGGGCGATCTGGACAAGGTGACCTGACAGCCGGAACACATAATATAGCACGTCTTGAGTATCTTGTAACTTCATTCATCACTATCACTACAGTTATTGTGTTGTTGTTTTTTCTATTCGTTTAAAAACATTGTTTTTAAGGGGGGGGGGGGGTTGAAGGGCTTTTAAAAAGATTTCGGCGTTTTTATGCCCCCCATCAACATAATTTATATCACTCAGGAGGCGGGTTTCAATCCTGCCTGTCAGGGCTAACCCGAGCTGAAGAGGATACAGCATCCCAGAAGAAAGACCGAAATACTCGATAAAAACTTTCCCCTCTCAGGAATCAAACTAAAGCCTCCTTCATGCAACAGAGAAGTGTCTTATCAATGCACCTCAGATGCCGGTACAATTATTGGTGGTCTCTTTGTTCCATAGCGCATGTTGTGGAGATGTGTATATGGTTTTGACACTATACGACTATAAGTGTCATATGTAATGATTGTTTGTCTTGTTTAACTTAACTCTAATGCAAATTTTGTACTTTTCTGAGTTATGTTATTTATTCATTAGCAAAAAATTGGCACAGTTTTGGAAACTGTTGATGCCTGTTTTTTTTTTCCCTAATATATTTTTTAAAAATGTTTCACACACCCCAGTGGTAATGTGTGGCTCACAGGAAAATCTTTTTTTTATCCCTGATTTTGTCATGTAGACAAAGCTACATTAGATCAAAATAATGGCACTGTTATAGATCCCTGTTGTTAAATTTGGTTTGCAATGGCAGTGTAAACATATAATATTATATTGACCAATGCCACATAATGATACACAATATCACTCCAATACAGACAATCTTACAAACCCAATAGTGTATTTCTGTGTCTTCCCTTCCCCATACTGATGGGCCTCTGTAATGTAACAGTTATACACCTCATGGTCACACACAGAAGATGTGAGTTCGGCTCCTGCTTGGGGAGGATTTTAATCAAGTTCCTCGGTTTGCTGAGATTCGGTATACCTCTCATCCCAAGTTATAGCTGAAGGCTGGAGGGAGCCACTAGTTGGTCCTACCTATACTTTTCCTCAGTTGTTTCTGTCTGTCTTGTCCTACTTTTTCCCAGCGCCAAATGACCATTATTGTGTGGATGTACTTCTCTTTCCTTAAACAAACGGTTGGCCCAGTACGCCTCTGAGTACTCTGACAGGCAGGTTAAAAGCATCCCGACATGTAAATGATGTAAATTGTGTCGATGGAGACATTAAAAGTTTTACAATTACAATTTTTTTCTTGGGATGTTTGGAGTGGAGGGCGCCACTGGTTGGTCCTACTTCTTTACTTTCCCTCTAGTTTTTCCTATCTATCTTGCTTTACTTTTTTCCAGCACCAGATGCCATTGCTGTGTTGGAAGTGTTTCTCTTTACTCAACTTTAGTTTAGTTTAGTGAGTTTTACGGCGCTCGCAAATGCTTAAGGTCATATGAGCGCGCTTTTACTCAACAACAACAACAACAATAACAGCAACAACAACAACAGCAATAACAACAACTACAACAACAGTTCTTTTTCTCCCCTCAGACTGAAAAAGTGCTGAGCTCACTGTACCCACAGCTGATCCCCGCACAGATTACCTCCCCTGACAAACCTCTCCTCATGAAAGAGATTGTCTCAACCATCAATAAGGTACTCGCTCAATTTGATTTCTGTGTCGTGTTGGATTTATCTTTTGTTTTAAGTGGCAAAGCCAAAATGGTCTCTGTTCGTAAATGTTTCCCTTACACGATTGGGTTTAATTATCATGATGGATTTGTAAAAAAATTCTTATTTTTGGGGGATAAATTAAAGTTACAAAGCCAGATGTAATCTGTGTTAACTAGTATTATGTTTCAGCCTTCAATGAGATGATTGAGGTAATGGATTTTCATAGTGTTAGTGTGGTTGCCCCGAATAGAATACTGGCTAAATGAAACAGTTACTCTTGATCCAATGGGTTTTTTTGGAATATAAGTATTGATTGAATACAAAAGTTTCAACCGATTTGGCATAGTTGTATAAATAAAAATGCTGATTGAATGAATCTATTTAAAAACAGTCTTTTCTGGTTTGGCATTATTATAACATGTAGAAAAGATGAGGATATTATGTCAGTGTGGTCAGTCTTTTGTCAAAGTCCTGGTTCTCCCTCACGTTCGTGAATTTTTATTGCATTGTATATTTTAAGTGAACACATTTCCAACCTCACTGCGAGACTATTTTTCTCATAAAATTTTTTACACATATTATGCATTTATATTATATGTATAATACTTTGTTTTTCGTACACACATGGCAATTAATTTTTAAGATGTGATGTCTTTTTCGTTGTAATGCGCATTGAGCATCTTTTAGAAAATGGAAATGCGCATTATAAATGCTATTTATTATTATTATTACTATCCCCCTGGGTGGTGTTACTGACTGAAGTGTCTTTAGACCAATCCCAAAGGGAGACATTAACATGTTCTTATGCACAGTAGAATTGTAAATGGGCTGATTCATCAATGTCATGCTCATAACTGTGCCTTAACAGCAGCAGGGAACTGCTGCTTTTTCTTTCCTATCCTTACTATCGTCATTTTTCCTCTACTTCTTTTGTATATTTGTCACACTCTTGTGACCCACTATTTCCGGGTTGCCTTGATAGTCGAAGCAGACTTTGTGCTGTTGAAGCTAGAGAGGTGAGCAGAGTAAGCCTGATTTCCTGTGAGGACTTCTCTGTTGACATCCACCCCTTGGCGCTCATATGACCTTATGCAGTTGCGAGCACCTGAAACCTTTACTAAAACTAAAACTCTCCCTCACTTAACCCCCTTTCCATTTCTCCTCCTTGTTTACCTTGGCCACTCCCAGTGTCGCCAGCTGGACCTGGTTCCCAAGACCCAGCGCGATCGTGCGGCCGAATGTACTCACAGTCTGACACACAAGGTCACAGAGGTCGTTAACACTCGGAACAGTAGGATCTTACAGCGGGTGGGTGGAATCGTGTGTCTATTTGTATGTTTGTGTGTTAGTTTTTTTTTTATTGTGTGTTTGTGTGTTCTTGTGATTTTTGTGTTTGTTTACATGTGTGATTGCCTTTTGTTTGTGTGATTGTGTGATCATATGTGTCATGACGCGGTGTAATCAGGCGCTTGTCAATTTTGGGGAATACGGATTTATTGGTATCATCTTAAAGCCTGTTCATTTGCCTTGCTTTTGATGAGAAGGATATTCATCTATCTTGGATACAAGTCAAGCTATTGACGATTGAAAAAGGTGGGGGTCGCCTGGTTTCAGAGGTAAGATTAGCGAGGAAATGGCCACCAAAGTTGAGTTATTTCCTTAGCTTGAGAGTCCGTGGAAACAGAAAATTTACATCTTTTATGCTTTTAAACAACTTTTTTCCTGTAAAATCCACACAGAAATGTGTTTTTGAAAGGGAATGAAAGGTGTTGAGCCAAAACCAAAAACAAAACCAAAATTCTATAAAAATTCCTAAATCTGGAGAAAAATGCCAGTTTCTTGACTTTCATTATTTTGATGAGCGCCTGATTTCAACACGCTGCCTCTCATATCGTCTTAGTAATTTTGGGATTGCATGTTTGTGTGTATGTATGTAATTTTGTGATGCATATTTGTTTGTATTCATGTATGCAATTTTGTGATTGCATGTTTGCATGTTATTGTATGTCATTTTGTGATTGTATGTTTGTGTGTGTGTGTATCATGTAATTTTGTGAATGGCTGTTACTACTGTTAGTGTAATTGTATGATCGTATTCATATATATATGTTTTTGTAATTCTGCGATAATGTTTATTTGTTTATGTGACAGTGTGAATATCTGTTAGTATGGTTTGTGGGTTTGATCACAGATGCTTTTAGCAGGTTTGTGTCGACATGTTTTGTTGGATGGGGAAGAGCCTCTTTAAATTGTAAGTGGTCTGTGGATGTTCCAGTGGAGTATAATCCTTCTACTTCTTCTTATGGTCCTATTATTCTCTTCCATTCTTGGAGAAGTGTACCGGTCTGTGGTGGTAATGGTTAGGCTCTGTGCCATTTCACGATAGAAGACATTAATGAGCTTGATTTCCTTACAATAATAATCAATAAAACCTGTGTCTTTCTTTTCTTTTCTTGTATTTTTCCACTTTCAGTTGATTGACCAGCGCTTGTCTCAGAGTGATTCTGTCGACCAGCGGGTGGTGTGTGTGGAGCATGAGCTGGATCTCAGCGCACGCCAGGTGAGATACACTTGTTCTTTCTCTCTTTCTCAGTCTTTCTCTCTTTCTCTTCTTCCATTTTGTACTCTCTGTCAGTCTGTCTGTCTGTCTGTCTGTCTTTCTGTCTCTCTCTACCTCTATGTTTCTCTCTCGCACTGTTTCTTTCTCTTTTTCCCTCCCTTCAAAACAGCTGTGTGGTCTAGATCTAGTCTTCAACATTTACTAGTAAAGAGCACAAGGTCAAAGGAAAAACGATCAGAGTCACAAATTGGAATTTATTCAATTATTATTTTCAGCATGTGCACTACTTACATGGTTTCTCTCAAACACTGTCAAACCAAACAACAGGCTCAGTGCTTAGTTAGAAACACTTTTTAAAAGAGGGTACTACACAAAAAAAAAGTCCAATGCGTTTTGAACTTTAAAATTTGTTTTTCTCTGAACCAAAAATGGTGACGATCATTTTTCCGTTGTGGTCTTCTCCTGTACTGTGATCTACATTTTCAACATTTAATTTTAGTCTTGCTCCCCTTATCGTTTCATGGAGGCTCCAGTTGCTGACTGGTGACTGAGTCCAGGCTCTTTACTGTTAAGCGAGTGTCAGTGATGCTGAGCTTTAGTGAGTGGTCACTGGGGTGTGTCCTTGAGCAAGACACAATAACCTTATCTTAGGAACTGGGCGCTGCACAGTGGCAGATAAAAAAAGTGTTCGGATTTTAAAAATAATTATTTGTGTATGTGCATGCAGTGCAGCTCTGATAACTCTAACTCGTTGGGGATTGACAAATGTGTTTGTAAACCGATATAGTGAAACATTAAAGAGATATCAGTTGTGGAATAGCATACATGATGCATCGTCGTGAAATCAGGCACTTGTCAAAATAATGAACTTGAAGAAACTGGCATTTTTCCGCCATTTGGCAATTATTGTCAAATATTTGATGATTTTGCTCATCACCTTTTATTTTGATTTAAAAATGAATTTCTCATTGTGTTGATTTCACTGCAAAACGTTGATAGATCTACATTTTAAAGCACAAAAAATGTACTTTTCCAATTTTCAAGGACTCGCAAGCTATGGAAGTCACCAAACTCTGGCGGACATTTCCTCGCTAATTTTACATCTGATACCAGATGACCCTCACTTTCGTCAATCACAAATATCTCGATTCCTGTTCAAGATAGAATGGTATTTCTTTCATTAAAGCAAGACAAATGAACAAGCTTGAATATGATACCAATAAAACTGAACTCCATAGATTGACAAACACCTGATTTCACTGCATTATGACACATAATATATACTACGAGCTGTCCATGATTTTGAGTTTTCTGTGTTTCTGTTATCTGTGCTTTACTGTATTTGCATACAGTATAACACGGATAGGTCGAACACAAAAGGCTTGAAATCAGGCATCCATCGAAATGTGCTTGTGGTCCCTTTCTATTTTCTTCTTTATCTTTGTAAGATATCCCTCGAACTACAGATCCCTCAAGCTACCGAGGCCAGTCCTGACGAATTCGAGCTATCTATATTGTACTACTGTAGTTATGTAGCCTAATCCTCTGTCAAACAAATTTCCCAGGGGGATTGATAAAGTGGAATTAATAATCTTATTATTACAGTATAATACGGATAGCTCGAATTCGTCCGGACCGGCATCAGTAGTTCTAGGGATCCGTGGTTCGATGGATATCTTATAAAGTTAAAGAAGAAAAAAAAAAACGGGACCGTGATTTCGAGTCTTCTGTGTTCGACATATCAGTTTTATTCTGTACCTATTATGTGTTCTCCATGATGTGTGATGTCAACCTTTGGTCCACGTTCCTCAGATGGTCAAACTCCTGTCTCAGAGGTCAGACAACATGCCCGTCCTCTGTGTGGGTCAAGAGGTCAGTGGTGGGTCAAGGACGGTGGTCTTGTGCCTGCCTTTGTCTCTTTGGCAGGTGAGCCTCAACTTTAGCCATTACCGATTTATTTTAGTTTAGCAAGGTTTTACAGCGCTCGCAACTACATAAGGTCATATTAGTGCCAAGGGGTGGATATTAACTGAGAAGTCCAAACAGGGAATCAGCCTTACTCTGCTCACCTCTCTAACCTCTACAGCACAAATAGCAGTTCACAAGAGAGTGACAAACATACAAAAGAAGTAGAGGAAAAATGGATGAGGAAAGAAAAAGCATCAGTTCCCCTAATGTTGTTCCAGCACAGTATGAGCATCAGCTCATTTACAATTCTACTACTATGCATAGGAACATATTAATATACCCCCTTTGGGAATGGCCTAAAGACAACTTCTGTCAGTAGCAATGCCCTGGTGTGGGGTACCGATTTATTTACCGAGACACCAGCTCAGTACCTTAGTCATTACAAAGTTCTGACATTTTTGGCCGTTTTGAGTTACTAAGATCTTGAGGTCAGAAGCCAAATGTTCTATCTGCTCAATCAAAATCATAAGATAGTTCAGGGTCATTATCAAGATATTCAAAGAATTGCATTAGAGAAAGGTTGACATGTTGTGAAGCTCTAAATGTTTGACGTCAAATTTCTCACAACTTGGCACTTTGTAATTCTGGTGTACCGATCTATATGTTTGGGTGCTTGTTTAGCCTATTTTTCTCATTTCTTTCGACTTGTAAGTTGGCAGAAAGAACCGATCTATATGTTTGGGTGCTTTTTTAGCCTATTTCTTTCATTTCTTTCGATTTGTAAGTTGTCAGAAAGAAGCGTGTGAATAATTTATGGTCCTGGTCAGTGGTGTTGCGCCTCAGGCCACTGGCATCTGTGATGTAGTGGTTAGCTGCTTTGTTGTCGCCCGCAGGAGACCTGGGTTCAATTCTTGAATGGGAGAGCATTTTACCAAGTGTCTGGTCTTTCTTCTCAGATGCTGTATTTTTCTCAGCCCAGGTTGGCTCTGAAATGCAGGGTCGAGGCAGCCCGCCCCCAAAATGATTTAAGTCTATAAAGTGTTAGTTAATTGGTGCGTAAAATATCTACAGTTGGCACCCTTGACTATTTCTTAGAAGTGGCATATCAACTGATTTCTGTTGGTCCTCAGAGTAAAGAACTACCGGAGATCTTGAGAAAATAGAGCTGCCATGTTAGCATATCTGCTTACTGTATAGTACATTATTATACCATACAATAGTGTTAGTGTCAGCTGCAAGTCCCCACATCCTCAAAATGACTTATGTGTGTCTAGTGGAGCATTGACTTTTTTCGGGGTGGGAGGGGGATTTTCCTCTACTTGGGTTGGGTATGAACGAATCGTGGAAGAGTAGATCTAATGAAATTTCGCCAGCCTTTAGACAATAATTTTGGAACAAACTATGCAAATTTTCAGGAAAATCTGGCAATAACAAGGCACTAGTCAGCGTGTTCAATGAAACCATGCACAAAAACGTTTGTTTTTCCTTGCTGAAGATGTGCCATGGAGCCAGTTGAGTATCGCTCATTTATCGAGTTTTTACACTTGCAAGGAAAATCCCCTTCAGACATTCTTCAGGATATGGTCCTTGTTTATGATGACAAAAGTCCTCGTTTTAAACTGTGACATACCGGGTAAGAAAATTCAAATCTGGATTCATATCGGTGATGGATGAAGATCCTGAAGGGTGCCCATCCTTTGTGGTAACTGAAGAGAATGTATCCATAGTGAAGAAACTGGTTCCTCGAGACTGACGTTTAACTGTTAAACAGCTCTCAAGTGAAGTGAGAATCAGTGTAAGGTTATTTGAAACGATTCTCCATGATCATCCTAACTGGAATAAGGTATCTGCGAGGTAGGTACCCCGCCTTTTGATAAGTGAGCAAAAGCAGAGGATTGAGTCTTGCAAAACTCTCCTTTGAATTGAGTCCAGTGACACAAATTTCTTTAAAAACATGGTGACTTTGACTATGGATGAAACATGGATTTATCGTTTTGATTCAGAACAAAAAATGTCATACTTTTTTCTGTTTCCTAATCGTATAAAAAAATCACACAAAATATGTCGTTTCCATGACCACGAGGACGCCATTGAAGCTGTTGAAGACTGGTTAGGGGCCCATTCTGGGTCATTTTACTCTCAAAGACTTTTGAAGGTCAAAGAGAGGTGGCAGAAATGTATTACTCTGCATGGTGACTATGTAGAGAAATGAAAGTATGTGTGCCAAGTTACAAAGTTCTATCTTTATTCCTTCATATTTAGACCAAAGACTTCTTGAACCCTCCCTTGTATGCACAGAGAGGCACATCATCACAATAGCAGTCATTATGTGCTGAGAAAACGCAGGACACACAGACAGAATTTTAAGAGGAAAAATAAAAAAGTAGAACCTATCACACTCAGACCCAACTATTTGCTATAGGGAGTTGAATTGATTAAAAAAGTGAAACATGTATAGGACAAACACAAAAGACTCGAAATCAGGTACCCGTCGAACTGTGCGTGCGGTCCCGTTTTTTTCTTCTTTTTGATCTTTGTAAGATATCCCTTGATCTACGGATCCCTCGAACTATCGAGGCACGCCCCGACGAATTCGAACTGTCCATGTTTTACTGTAACTTTTTTTCTCCACAGCCGCTGGGTAAGGAAGAGATTAGCAAGATAATTCCACAAAAGGGTTCACAGAAGTCATCTGTTGGAAAAGCTGCCAAAACGACCAAACGTGCTGAAGTGTACACATTCTCTGTGTCAGCCGACACGCCCACTCATGTTCTGTGTGACACTCTACACGCAGTGCTAAAGCCAAGATAACACAGCTGGGACTTTCCCCTTGAAGGATTCAGCTTGGAGATTTTGTACATAGAATGTCTTTTGCAATTATTACAGAACACAGAATTTGCTTAATGTCTTTCAATTTTTTGGAGTGTTTTTTTGGGGGTCTTTTTTGTGTTTTTATGTGTGAGTGTGTGTGAGATGGGGGGGGGGGGGGAGTAGAAGAGAGGATGTCCAGCGTCTGTTCTTTGGGTACCATGTTGTTAAAGATCATTATATTCGTGTGAGACATACATTGACTCAGAGAATAAATATGTAAGCAAATGTTTTTAGTGTTATTTTTTAGCATAATGGACTGAAGTTTCTGCTTTTTAATTTTATCAGACCCTGGCACTAACACAAGTGTCTGTGGCCAAATGCCCTGATTTACATGGTGATCAAAAGCTGTTAATTTAAACATGCAATAAAGAAAAAACAAAGCACTTACCATCTTGACAAGTTTTATTTCGGTATTTCGGAGGTATCTCTTATATACACAAAATGAGCACAAGTATAACAGCATACATAAATCAAAACCATTAGTGTGATTTACAGATAACCAATCCTCACACAGCTGCCATGTATCAGTCATGTCCTTGCAATTGAAACAACAGTAATAATGTAGCTCCTCTTTTTCCAACAAGTAACGAAAAACAACAAAAATGACAAGACTGCCACCCCAATGACCACATACTCAAGGCAACATATGGCATAATGATACTATAAATCACCCCCCCCCCCCCCCCCCCCCACTAAATTTTTATGGAAATGTAGGGCATTTCTCGGACAAAAAAATAAAAAAAGGATATTTCTTTCAAATACAGAACATATCCTCACCGTCATTCATCATTTAGTTTAGTTTTAGTAGAAGTTTTACGGCACTCGCAAAATAAGGTCATATGAGTGCCAAGGGGTGGACATCAACAGAGAAGTCTTTACAGGGAATCCGGCTTACTCTGCTCACCTCTCTAGCTTCAACAGCACAAAGTCTGCTTCGACTATCAAGGCACCCGGGAAATAGTGGGGGGGTCATTCATCTTGGTTGTATGTCAAAATACAAGGTTTTCAAGAGAAGCAAAAAATTGCATTTCGGGCAAGATATTATCTTAATACAAAATGTTAAATTGGTCTCAATCCATAACTATTTTGGAATAGGAATAAGACTTGAACCAATTGATACGCCTTATGAGACTCTACAAAATACTTGATTTCCATTTTTACAAAATTTTGACATACTACAATGTTGAATGACGGCAACAATATCGATGGGTGAGTGTGAGAAGTTACTATATCCACTTTTGGTTGAAATGAAGTAATCGATATAATGGGTGGTAAGATTTCAAGCCACTTTTCTACCTCTGTAAATATCTGAGCCGTAGCTTGGTATCGAGATATTAATATGTTTTTTTTACTGTGTCATTTATACTGATTTCAGAATCGTCAAAATTTCAAACTCGTTTTTCTTGAAACTTCGAAAAGTGGAAATTATAGTCACTTCCTGCACTCAGCTGTCGATATGTCATTTATACGGATTTCAGAATCGTCAAAATTTCAAACTCGTTTTTCTTGAAACTTCGAAAAGTGGAAATTATAGTCACTTCCTGCACTCAGCTGTCGATATGTCATTTATACGGATTTCAGAATCGTCAAAATTTCAAACTCGTTTTTCTTGAAACTTCGAAAAGTGGAAATTATAGTCACTTCCTGCGCTCAGCTGTCGATATGTCCATTGAAAATACAACAAAATAGAAAACATAAGCACAAACCAATACCAACTACAACTACATTCTAGTGTAAACATCCAAGAGAAACTTAATTTACTCATCAGTAGGGATTTCTCAAGAAGTTATTATACAAAACCAATTTCATGAACCAGCTGCCCATCAATGTTCTGATCCTTTAGCAAAAACTATAGTGATTTTTAGGTACATTAATTTTTAATGCAGAAACATCTGATATTGAAGCAGAAAGGATTCCCGCGAGGGACTAAAAAAATGCACGCACAAGAAGATACTTTTAAGAGTAAAGCTTCATGTAAGATGCTAGTGAGTCTCTTTCCTCCACAATAATTCTAAGAATTGACACTGGGGACAAAGGCAAAGGCTGTTAAAAACCTGTTTCAAAAGGACCACCCTCTTGCAGTTGCCTTTCAAATAAATTTTAGCTCTCTAATAGCCAGTAACATAAATCACCACTGTAATACATTATGATCTCTACCTCTGCTATGGGGCAATAAAGACATAATATGATTTCCAGATCTAGCTAAGTTGTAAATCTTGAAAAAAATATGTTACATGCATAACAAGTCGTTCCTAAAACATCCCAGTCAGATTTCAGGAACTCTGAAATTTCCAGAAAAATGACACATCCATCAAAATTCCCTTTTTTCAAGTCAGAGATTCATCACTTGTGGCATTTCCAAATAAACACATCAACTCAAAAAGACAAGGCCAACCCCCCTCCCTCCCCCCCCCCCCCAAAAAGGAAAATAAAGCAGCCTCTGGCACTAACCACAAGCTGTTATCAAAAGGAATCTTTGACTGGGTAGGCGTCACAGTTTAAAGCCATTTTTACAACTAGTGGGGGGCTCGAATTGGTTTACTTTGCCACAGCTGCACCAGAAGTCTGGGATTTCTACTTTTCATTTTCTGATAACACCGGTTTTTCTGCATGTTAACTATTTTCACCAACAATCCATCTTTTCCTCCTGTAATTTTGGACATTTTGAACCTGTTTCGACACAGTCTCATCTTTCTCTAGATCACACTGTTCATCAATACAATTGAAATCAATTATCTGAATTATGAGTCTGCAAAGGCACAGCCCAAGCTGAGTGGGATATAACATCCTGACAGACAGACAAAGATACTTGAAAAAATAACTAACTTATTTTGAGAATCAAACTCACATCTGACTTTGCATGCAACAGCAAAAAGCCTAACCATAACACTACAGATATACTAGTAAGATGACCTCTCCACTTTGTTAAAGTAAGTCAATCAACTTGACTGAAATCACCATCACAACTAAATTTGATCTCACTTCCCTTGAGAATCAACAATCAAAGTCACTAAAAAATCACCATCCCTACCAGTACCAGTGATGGCCATTCTTCCCAAGCAAGTTAGTCACCATCACTGCTGAAGATGACATCTCCCCTCAGTACAAGTACAAGTTAATCAACGTCACTGAAATCACTCCCCAGGTCATGTTCCTCCATGTCCACAAACTCCATTATCTCCTCGGCCGACACATGCTCTGTGGCGCTGATCTCTGGCATAAACCCACCACCACCACCACCACCACTTCCTTTTCCTGCATTCCTCCTACTATCCTTCGCCATTGTAAGACCTGGATTACGGTTCTTCCCTCTTCCTTTTCCCTTCCCGGCTTCCCGGCAAAAGCCAGACCCATCGTTGGAGTTGCGGTTCCCTGTAGAGAGAAATAACCAGCTTTGGTAGATTTTGGGTCGTGTATGTGTTCCATCTGCTTCCTGAATCTGCTCATTTTGCTAGTATAATCTTCATCTTCATCACTACCAAAGCCAACATGAGGCTGGGATAACCTATGGCTTCCAGCGGGTTTCTGAGATTTTTCTTTCTCAAGTCTTGAAAGTCTTAGTTCTGAAATATCGTCTTTACTTCCTCTTACATTTGACATATCAGACATTTCGTCTTCAAGTCTATACAACTTACTAATTTGGTCGATATAATCTTCGTCCTCATCATCATCAAAACTTTCAAAATCAACAACAGGTTGATCTAATCTCCGACTGGGAGAGGGTTTCAATGTTTTCACTTGTCCTAATCTTAATTTGTTCACTTTAGTTCCATCATTTCCCATTTGTCCAACATTTGACGTTTTCTCTTCTTCCAGTTTTGACTTCTTCCCTTTTTTGCTGATATTTTCCCCGTCCTTATCCCATACAGTTTCACCGATGGGTTGGTCAAAAGCTTGACTGCGTGCAGACTTTAAAGCCCTGGCTTGTTCCCATCTCAGTTTTCTCTGCCTGGCCGCTTCCTCGTCGGTTTGTGAACTTTGTCTCGTGTCTGACTTTTCCTCTCTAAACTTTGCACTCTGTGAGTTACCCTTCCTCTCACCTTGACCTTCAAACACATCATGTGACTGACAAATGGTTTCCACCCTTGTCTCATCACTGCAGCTTGACTTAAAAAGAGGAGTTTTCTTGCCCGAGCTTGAACTGTTTGAACTTTTCGGTATCTGCATCTCTTCACCAACAGTTGCCCGTTCTTTCCCTTCTATGATCAGTTTTGTCAGACTTAGATCCTGAACCAGACCTCACGCTTTGTCCTGTACCGCCTCCACCAACTCTTGACACATTAGATTTTAATTTAAGCTCAGTCTTGTCTCCTGGTTTCTCACTGCCACTTTGATCCTTTTTAGCAGCAATCTTTCCTCTAGCAACTTCTTTCTTTCCATCTGATCACGGCCGATGCCTGAGGGGGAAGAGACACAGACAGACAAAAGACTATATTGTATACCGCAGAAATTTGGGGAATTTTTCAGCAGGTGTTTGGAAGACACCACTGTCAGGTCCTACATCTTTTCTTTCCTTTCATTGTTTTTGCTGTCATATTTATTCCCAGCACTAAATGATCGTTGTGTTGAGGTGTTTCTCTTTAGACAAACAGAGACCTTATTCACCCCACCCAGTGTTTCGAATTTCTTTTGCTTCTGAGAACCAGATGTCAGTGAGGGAAAATTATACACAAACATGAGCACAATAGTGGGGGGAGCTGACTGACTGCTACGTTAGAATTACAAATGTTTTCCTGTCAAAAACAATTTTTAAAAAGTATAATTCCAGGGCACCTTTCATCTAGTCCTGTACTTTCTAACAGGGGTGATATCACCCACTGATTTGATGATTTCGGTGGATGGAGGGGATTACCTGCATAGTGACAGGTATTATTAAATTCCTCACTTGGAAGTACATATATATATATATATATATATATATATATATATATATATATATATATATATATATATATATATATATATATAGCTGGGCGGGACAAACTTTTTACGGGGCTCTCGTGGCCTAGAGGTTAAGGTGTTGGCCTCTCATTCAAAGGTTCCGGGTTCGAATCCGGGTAGCGACCGAAAAATTTTCTTCTCTAAAATTCTTCTTTCACCCACTCCTGCTCTCTAGCAATATTCTGTCGTCTGCTTCCGTTTCCCCTTTCTGCCGCCACCCCTTCACTTCCTTTGTCCCCTCCTCTGGGATCCTGACTCTTTCTGCAGCCTTTCTACTGCTACTCCTTGGCTCCACCTTACTGCTGTCTTTCTGCCACACCCCTGATATTCTGGTTGGAAAGATCTACACCTAGCCTTCTCGGACAAGGGCGAAAAATCTCGGAGGGCCCGTGTGCAAGTTGCGCATGTTAAAGATCCCTTGGTGGTCTAAAATCGATAAGAG